GATATACACTTTATGATATGGATAATAACAGAACGCTGGGACGTGAGTGAGATACAAATGAGACTGACTCCATAACAATACTGTTACCATGGTATCCCACTTCAATGCCCTCAAAACTCCCCTCCTACTTCCCTGTGCATCTAACCTATACGCCCTCGACCATATCAGATTCCGTGTTAAAACACCCGAAAGTTCTCATCCACCTCGTCGGCCGCTGCAATCAGTACTGATTTGGAGATCCTTGTGCGAACACCCGATTCTCAGCTCTCGGCCCTAACCCGGGCATGAGAACCGGAAGGACCTGTGGCCCCGGCCCTACGACCCCTCCTCGGCTCGGAGGGACGGCGACGGCCGGCGCGAGCGCGGCTGCGGGGAGGGAGCGGCCCCACAGGCTGGGAGCTGGAAGGGTGCACGTCGACCTACCCAGGTGTCTCCCAGGGCTCCGGCTGTAACTCGCGCCAAGACTTCACTGAAAAGCGAACAGGCGATGCCTATTTGTCCTTGATGTCAGTCCTTACTCTATCTAGCCACTCGGAGCCTGTGACCCTGGCGACCACAAAGTGCGCCCTCAGCCTCACTCTGACGGTGAAACGATCGGACTGTGTCAGGACGAGGGTAGAAACTGACAGGAAGGGGCTCGGTCCCGAGCTGTCGCCGTCCTCGTAAACGCTATGTAAAGTAGAGGGAACTCGGTATGTGCCGGGAGGCGACCGTGCCAGCCCATCCCAAGCACCCGACCTTTCAAGCCTCACGCCGTAGGAGCGGCTTGGCGGGACGGACCGCAACTCGGAACGCAATTTGCGCGGAGCGTGGTTTCCCCCCGAGCCGGCTCCGGGGCACGTGTCCCTGTGACGCAGGCGCTGTGCCCCTCAGACGGCATGGAGGCCGTGGGTGTTGTGTGTGTGGCGGTGGCCCTCCTAGCACCGGGCATCTTCTGGGCTTGGCACTTCTTGGAACGAATGAAGAGTCAGGTGCAGGCTGGCCTGTTGGGAAGCGGAAGCCGGGCCCTCCTGGTGATCGCGCACCCCGACGACGAAGCCATGTTCTTTGCTCCCACTTTGCTAGGCTTGGCCCGCCTGAGGCACCCGGTGTTCCTGCTCTGCTTCTCTGCAGGTAGGAGGCTGCCGGCGGGGCGTTGGGACCCGGGGCTGTAAAGGATGTGTAAGTGCTCACCCATCTCAGTCGAGTTTTGCCCAAAGGATTCTCTGTTGTAGAGAGTTAACGAAATATACCCCAAAGTCCCTTCTCTGGGCGCTTCACGGAGAGGCGGTGGCTCCAGCCCCGGGACTGCAGCGGCCGGTTTCCCAGGTTGTTGGGGGGCGTCCTCAGCTTTCGCACTCCGCTAGCAAGATCACGCACAAGGGAACTGCCCACATCTGATTCCATCCAATACCCACATTTCCTTTGGAGAATGGGACTGTACTCATTATTCTGTGGAGCCTTTGTATTTGCAGAAGGACCAAGAATAATGATCCTACCATAGTACGCGAAACAGAATCTAGTTATATCATGCCTGCTCAACCCTGAAATTTTTATAGATAATTTTATAGTTCAGGGAAGGGGACTTCCAAAGAATAAGCCCTCCTTTACCAGATAGAAAAGGTGGAATGAGACCATGATCCTGGATTATGGCGATAATCGCACAATGTACAAATGTAGTCGAACTGTACATATACAATGGTGAATTTTTATGGTATGTAAAATTGTACCTCAATAAAGCTGTTCTTAACAAATGCCCACGACCTCTTTTTCCCATTTCATGGTGTGTCATTCCAGTTCTTTTTATAGACAGATTTTTCACAGAAATAACATTTAATATAATTTTTTTTCACTGAACATTTTTCATTCATTTACCAAATCTATAATAATAAAAGCATAATATGCTAATTAGACCAGACAGCCGAACGACCTTACAGACAAAGCCGCGGAGGCCACCACAGAGGTGGTTAGGGGCAAGCAGGCAGGCAGGCAGGTGAGTGGTTAGGAGCCAGGATCCCAGATGGCGAGAGGGATGTCAGACATCCCCCAAGGGGTCCTGGATTGGGAGAGGGTGCAGGCCGGGCTGAGGGACACCCCCCCCCACCCCCCCCCATGAATTTCGTGCACCGGGCCTCTAGTATTTAATAAAAATGTATGTGTACTACACTTAGAATGGCCAAAATCTGGAACACTGACAACACCAAATGCTAGTGAAGATGTAGAGCAACAGGAACTATCAGTTATTAAGGTTAGGAATGTAAGATGGTTCAGGCACTCTGGAAGGCAGTTAATTTGGCAGTTTCTTAGAAGACTAAACATACTCTTACCAAACCATCAGCAATTACTCTACTTGGTATTTATTTACACAAAGGAATTGAAAGCATATCCATGCAAAACCCTACACACAGGTGTTTATAGCAGCTTATTCATAATTGCCAAAACTTGGAAGCAATTAAGATGTTCTTCAGTAGGTGAAATAAATTAATACATCCAGGCAATGGACTATTAGTGCTAAGAGAAATGAACTGTCAAGCCATGAAAAGGCATGGAGTAACCCTAAATGCATATTATTAAGTGAAAGAAAACAACCTGAAAAGGCTACACAGTGTATGATTCCAATGAAATGATATTCTGGAAAAGGCAAAACTATGGGGACAGTAAAAGGATCGTTGTTTTCCAGGGGTTGAGATGGGAGGAAAGATGAATAACTAGATGGAGCACAGAGGATTTTTTTAGGGCAGTGAAAATACTGTATGATATTTTAATGATGGATATATGCCCTTATGCATTGTCCAAACCCATGCAATGTACAATACCAGGAGTAAACTCTAATGTAAACTATGGGCTTTGGGTGGTAATGATACAGGTTTATCAGCTGTAACAAATGTAACACTCTGATGGGAAATGTTGATAATGGAGAAGGCTATGTATATGTGGAGACAGGGTAAATGGCAAGGAAAATCTCTATACCGTCCCCTTAATTTTGCTGTGAACCTAACAGCTTTATAAAGAATAAAGTTTTAGCCCTAACCGGTTTGGCTCAGTGGATAGAGCGTCAGCCTGCGGACTCAAGGGTCCCAGGTTCAATTCCGGTCAAGGGCATGTACCTTGGTTGCAGGCACATACCCAATAGGGAGTGTGCAGGAGGCAGCTGATCGATGTTTCTCTCTCATCGATGTTTCTAACTCTCTATCCCTCTCCCTTCCTCTCTGTAAAAAATCAATAAAATATAAAAAAAAGAATAAAGTTTTAATTTAAAAAATTGTATGCTAGGCCTTATGCTATTCCCTAGGAATAAATAGTAAAAACAAGCTAGATAAGGACCACATCCTTGTGAAACTTATAATTTAAACATTTACTCATATTAATAAAAACTAGTATATATCCTTTTAAATAGTCTCATAGAGATAAATCTTAATTTAGTCATCCCTTATTATATGTCTATTTAGGGTTGTTGTTTTTTCCAGTTATCTCCATTACAAATAACAGCAAACATCTATATGTATTCCATAGTAATTTATTAGGACTGATTTCTAAAGTTGGTTGTTTTAAAGCTTTTCATGCAAATTATATTCCCAAAAATATACCAACGTATAGTCTCACTGACTAGTAATGAGAATCTGTCTTTTTTTTTTTAATGGAATTTATTGGGGTGACACTAGTTAACAAAATTATACAGGTTTCAGGTGCACATATCTATACACTATATTGCATGTTCACCACCCTAAATCAAGTCTCCCTCACCATTTATCCCCCATACACTCCTCCACTTTCTCCCAACAACCCCCTCCCTGCCGCAGCCCACAATCACCACACTGTTGTCTATATCCATGAGTGTTTTATCCTTTTTTTTTTTTGCTTGATCCCTCCACCACTCCCACCCAGACCCCCAACCGCCAACCTATCCTCAACAGCTGTCAACCTGCTCTCTATGAACCTGTCTCTGTTTTGCTTGTTAGTTCACTTTGTTCATTAGATTCCACATATGAGTGAAATCACATGGTACTAGTCTTTCTCTGAGTGGCTTATTTAATTCAGCATAATACTCTCAAGATCCATCCATACTGTTGCAAAGGTAAGATCCTTCTTTTTTATTGCCAAGTAGTATTCCATTGGGTAAATGTACCACAGCTTTTTTACCCAATCATCTACTGATGAACACCTGGGCTGCTTCCAAATCTTGGCCATTATAAATGCTGCAAGTAATATAAGGGTGCATATATTCTTTCGAATTAGTGTTTCAGGTTTTCTCGGATAAATTCACTGGTTCATAAGGCAGTTCCATTTTTAGTTTTTTAAGGTAATTCCATACTGCTCTCCATAGTGGCTACACCAATCTGTATTCCCACCAATAGTGCACAAGGATTCTCTTTTCTCCACATCCTCTCCAACATTTGTTATTTGTTGGTTTATTGATGATAACCATTCCAACAAGTGTGAGGTGATATTTCATTGTGGTTTTAATCTGCATCTCTCTGATGATTAGTTACATCAAGTATCTTTTCATATTTATTGTCCATTTGTATGTCCTCTTTGGAGAAGTGTCTGTTTAGGTCTTTTGCCCATTTTTTAATTGGATTGTTTGGATTTTTTGGTGTTGAGTTTTATAAGTTCTTTATAAATTTTGGATATTAGCCCCTTATCAGATGTTTCATTGGCAAATATGTTCTCCCACTCAGTGGGTTGTCTTTTCATTTTGTCGATGGTTTCCTTTGCTGTGCAAAAACTTTTTAGTTTGATATAGTCCCATTTGTTTAATTTTTCTTTTGTTGTCCTTGCCCAAGCAGATATATCAGAAAAAAATATTGCTATGAGAAATGTCCAAGATTTTACTGCCTATGTTTTTTTCTAGGATTTTTATGGTTTTGAGTCTAACATTTAAGTCTTCAATCCATTTTGAGTTTATTCTATGGTGTAAGAAAGTGGTCTAGTTTCATTTTTTGCATGTATCTGCCCAATATTCACAACATCATTTGTTGAATAGATTATTTTTACCTCATTGTATGTTTTTGCCTCCTTTGTCAACTATTTTTTTAAAATATATTTTATTGATTATTTTTACAGAGAGGAAGGGAGATGGATAGAGTTAGAATCATCAGTGAGAGAGAAACATTGATCAGCTGCCTCCCACACAGCCCCTACTGGGGATATGCCCGAAACCATGGTACATGCCCTTGACCAGAATCGAACCTGGGACCCTTCAGTCTGCAGGCCGACGCTCTATCCACTGAGCCAAACCGGTTAGGGCTCCTTTGTCAACTATTAATTGACTTTAAAGGCATGGATTTATTTCTGGGCTCTCTGTTCTGTTCCATTGATTTATATGTCTGTTTTTATGCCAGTATCACACTGTTTTGATTACTATGGGCTTGTAGTATGTATACTTTGATATCAGATAGCATGATTCTTCCAACTTTGTTCTTCTTTCTCAAGATTGCTATAGCTATTCAGGGTCTCTTGTGGTTCCATGTAAATTTTTGGAATATTTGTTCTAGTTCTGTGAAATATGCCATTGCATACTGATAGGAATTGCATTGAATCTATAGATTGTTTGGGGTGGTAGGAACATTTTAATGGTGTTAATTCTTCCTATCCATGAACACGTATATGCTTCCACTTATTTGTATCTTCTTCAGTTTCTTTCTTCAGTGTCTTATGATTTCCCAAGTACAGGTCTTTTACATCCTTGGTTAAATTTATTCCTAGGTATTTTATTTTGTTTTTGAAGCAATTGTTGATGGGATTGTTTTCTTAGTTTCCCTTTCTGATAGTTCAGTATTGGTGTATAAAAATGCAACTGAGCCTGGCCTGGTGGTTCAGTGGTTGAGTGTCAACTCATGAACCAGGAGGTCAGGGTTGGATTCCTGGTCAGGTCACATGCTCAGGTTGTGAGCTCAATCCCTGGTGGGAGCTGTGCAGGAGGCAACCGATCAATGATTCTCTCTCATCATTGGTGTTTCTCTCTCTCTCTCTCTCTCTCTCTCTCTCTCTTCCTCTCTCTGAAACCAATATTTTTTTATTTGATATATTTTTTTTAAATGCAACTCTTCCTGGATATTTATTTTATATCTTGCTACTTTACTGAATTCATTTATAAGTTCTAATGGTTTTTTTGCTGGTATTGCTGGTATCTT